GGACCAGACACATACAGAGAGACAGGGAGGGGAGACAGAGGAATCCAGGACCAGACACATACAGAGAGACAGGGAGGGGAGACAGAGGAATCCAGGACCAGACACATACAGAGAGACAGGGAGGGGAGACAGAGGAATCCAGGACCAGACACATACAGAGAGACAGGGAGGGGAGACAGAGGAATCCAGGACCAGACACATACAGAGAGACAGGGAGGGGAGACAGAGGAATCCAGGACCAGACATATACAGAGAGACAGGGAGGGGAGACAGAGGAATCCAGGACCAGACACATACAGAGAGACAGGGAGGGGAGACAGAGGAATCCAGGACCAGACATATACAGAGAGACAGGGAGGGGAGACAGAGGAATCCAGGACCAGACACATACAGAGAGACAGGGAGGGGAGACAGAGGAATCCAGGACCAGACACATACATTAGTGCTGAGCGATTAGCGCTTTTTGAAGACGGTTCGGTTAGATTATTTAAAAAAGTATCAATCTTTTTTCTTTATTTTTTCTCCATTAATGCATTATGAAATAATGCAATTTAAAATGTTTTTAGAGCTTTTTAAAAGGAAATTCCACAGCCAAAAATAGTGAACATCCTATTGCCTTGAAAATATTCCATTGTCTCTGTCAGGTCCACATTGGGTAGACATCAATAGAACAACAGTAAATAACTATGAAATAAGACATTATTTCCGTTGTGTATATTACGTCGTTTTTTTATTTGATGCCTTTATTATTTTTTATTCCTTAAAGTCGTCATCTCATCTCTGCTCAGGCAGTAGCAGCCAGTCAGCCAGACCATCTAACGTTATGGCGGCAGGTAGTTTAGTGGTTAAGAGCGTTGTGCCAGTAACCGAAAGGTCGCTGGTTCTAATCCCAGACTAGGTGAAAAATCTGTCGATGTGCCCCTTGAGCAAGGCACTTAACCCTAATTGCTCCTGTAAGTCGCTCTGGATAAGAGCGTCTGCTAAATGACTAAAATGTAAATGTAAAATGTTATCTCTGTGCTCCCCAATGTCTTTAGTCATCCTATTTGGCTAGCCTGCCTAAGTATGCTGCAGAGCTGTCTGACCAAATCATTTGACTAGTTCTTCAAAGTAAATAAGGCATACTTTCACCAACTGTCTCTGTCCCTCTCGTCGTAGCAGTACCTTCCTCTCTCATGAGGTGTGTGTGTATCTAACCTGACGTAGCAGGCGGAAAAATGAATCTGTCAAGAGATCTGTATGACCGAGCGGGAAAAAAAACAGGCTCAAATGGATTATGGTCATTGTAGTTAATTACCAAATTTCTGCGCTGAACTAGGTTCAATATTTGCTTAATGAAAACTACATCTCCCTTCAGCCCAGCGTCCCACATAGTTCCTGACTTGAAATGGCCGTTTGAGCTCACAAAAAAAATAAATATATTATTATTATTATTATTATTATTATTATAAGCCATTTAGCAGACGCTTTTATCCAAAGCGACTTACAGTCATACGTGCATACATTTTTTTTTTGTGTATGGGTGGTCCCGGGGATCGAAACCACTACCTTGGCGTTACAAGCGCCGTGCTCTACCAGCTGAGCTACAGAGGACTACGATGATGAACTAAATGGAATTCAAGTAATTGAACCGGCGTCGGTCTATTAGTTGTTCCATAATCGGAAAAAAAACGTGAAATGTCAGTTAATCGCTCAGCACTAATATACAGAGAGGTTTAGGTCAAATAACAAAAGGATGCTGGGATCCAATAAATTAAAAAAGTTAACCAATCTATCCAACCACCCAACCAATACAACAAATCACCCAACCAATACAACAAATCACCCAACCAATACAACAAATCACCCAACCAATACAACAAATCACCCAACCAATACAACAATCAATCAATAATAAGATTAAGCAATATATATATATTCATATATACAAAGCATATATTATTGAGTGAACCCATTGCTGAGTATTGTGTGTGTGAATGTAGTAGCATAAAATGGATACGAGTATAGCGATGTAGCGGCTAAAGCTGTTCTCTCCAGGAGTGGATACGAGTATAGCGATGTAGCGGCTAAAGCTGTTCTCTCCAGGAGTGGATATGAGTATAGCGATGTAGCGGCTAAAGCTGTTCTCTCCAGGAGTGGATACGAGTATAGCGATGTAGCGGCTAAAGCTGTTCTCTCCAGGAGTGGATACGAGTATAGCGATGTAGCGGCTAAAGCTGTTCTCTCCAGGAGTGGATACGATTTATAGCGTTTGTAGCGGTTTAAAGCTGTTCTCTCCAGGAATGGATACGAGTATAGCGATGTAGCGGCTAAAGCGTTCTCTCAGGAGTGGATACGAGTATAGCGATGTAGCGGCTAAAGCTGTTCTCTCCAGGAGTGGATACGAGTATAGCGATGTAGCGGCTAAAGCTGTTCTCTCCAGGAGTGCAGGACATAGCAGTATCAACATGTCATCTCCAGGCTAGAGAGATGTTGTTAAAGGGTTAAATGGTTGGCTGGCTACCCATCCACATCGCTACGGCCAAACGCTAAACTAGGAATCAGAGGACCGACTGGGACGGGTTTGGATAGTCGAGTAGGAGGACTCTACTCTAAAAAGAGACTGATATAGAGGACTCTACTCTAAAAAGAGACTGATATAAGAGGACTCTACTCTAAAAAGAGAGACGGATATAGAGGACTCTACTCTAAAAGAGACTGATATAGAGGACTCTCAACTCTTAAAAAGAGACGATAGAGGACTTACAACTCCTAAAAAGGAGACTGATAGAAGGGACTCCTAAATCTAAAGAAGACTGATATAGAGGACTCTACTCTAAAAAGAGACTGATATAGAGGACTCTACTCTAAAAAGAGACTGATATAGAGGACTCTACTCTAAAAAGAGACTGATATAGAGGACTCTACTCTAAAAGAGAGATTGAGAAGGAGAACATCAGGGTGGGAGGAAGGGGAGGTTAGTCTCATGGATTAGCTGCTAACTAGTAACGATGATTTCTGACGTGTCTCATCATGGTAGGCCAACTCCAGTCATTAAGAAGACATTGCAGTTTTTCAATGCAGCTGGTTTCAATGCGAAGACGTTGTGGACGTTCATCATAACATTCTGAACATCCTGAATACTCATCACCAACGGTTGTACGGAGTGTTCAGAGGATGGCGTTCAAATTCAGGAATGTTTCACCTCTTAGCAAAATTGTATTATTATACTGTATATCAGTATTATAATAGTTGACTTAAAATGATGGGTTTGAATTACACAGAAACCCCAAAAAAAGCATGCAGGTCAGTTTACACATTTAAATGATAAGCCCAGTCAATCACATCATTAATAACATTAACCATGACTATAAACACACATACATCCAGTGAGGTACATTTCTTAATTAGACTTACATGAGACTGGAGTTAGGCCCACGGGGGGTACAGAGAGAGGAGGAGAGAGGGGGAGGGGGAGAGGGAGGGGACGGAAGGGTAAGGTGAGGGAAGGGAGGGAGGGAGGGAGGGAGGGAGGGAGGAAAGGGGGAGGAGGGAGGGAGGAGGGAGAGAGGAGGGA